ACAGTCCATAGCAAATTCGGAGAAATTGTAATCACGATCATAATTTGAACGGAAAATAATCCAAATACCAGAGCATCCCAAGACGCTGTACAAGGCAACCCTTTATGCATGAGTGTACACAACACACACATAAACAAAATAACAAATTTAAATTATTAAAATATATTGACAGAGCACAAGTTGAGCGTATTGAGAATGTGGCGCTACATACGACTCGTATAAGCCGACTCAAACACCAGGAGCCCCAAGGTAGCGAAGAAAGCGACTGTCATGTGAATGAATCGTTTTAAGTAGCAACCAGAGGAAAAGAGGAGCAGGAGGGGGGGTGACGGATTTGTAAGAGGATGAAAGCGTCGGAGAGACTGTGCAGGGTTTTCCTTGGGGAAGTAGCTCATCAACGGGAGAAGACAGCAGCAAGGCCTTGAGTGTGGACTTTGAAGAGGAGAGCGAATGTGGAATGAAGATGCGTCTCCGCTACATTCAACATTCGCTCCAACTTGCTGACCCGCCCCTCACTGGACATGTGAAGAAGAGCTTCAGAGCTCATTGGATTCCTCCAGGATAAATAAGGCATCAAAAATAAAGATTCTGATACAGACTTCAAAACGGTCTTCAAATCACTGGCAATTTTGCAGACGTTTAATTGCATAAACCAATCTGAGCACACATTTTTGCTTATTTTCTAAAAGTGCAAAAAAAAATCTTCATAGTAGTATAATTGTAACAATAAAAAAATGTTTATCAAACTGTAACTACACCGATATTAGCGGATGTTCTCTGATACTTCTGCTCACAATGGACTCTTCTTCACCTCCCGACCGTCTGTTCAGCAGCGACGGTGGGTTTGAATAAAGTGCCTTCATGACTCTCCGTCTACTAATTTCGCAGCTTCATTCATCACCAATCCCCTATTTTCTATGTCTCCACTTGATCAATCCAACACATTCTATTTCTGTCTTAACTGCTTGATTCCTGTATTCTGGCGTTAAGGCCACATTTGGTATTGTGTCCATGATCCATCCTTGAGACATGTCCAAACACTGTCGTCTGCTTTCTTAGGAGATCTGTTATAAGTATTTTTTTATTATCTGAATAATTTTCTCGTAATCATTATGTTTTGCTTCATGAAGAGGCTTCAAAAGCCTGGTTTATGTATTGGCAAAGAAACAGACTCTGCCGATTTCTAGCAGAAAAAGCAGCCAAAAGAGCAGAAAATAATAGTAATTTAGCAGTTTTTCCAAAATTTACATAAACTACCTTTGTGCCAACATATGAATCAAAACCCTAGCATCAATGGGCTTTTACCTGGTTAGAAGACATGGTAATAACATACAGTAGAAAGAGAACACATATTAATTCAAGGAACTTTGCTCAAGAGTTATTTAAGTGTATTTTCAACTGGTTCTGAAATAATATGAATGAATCGATAATCAGACGTCAATGTCTATCCACTCCTGGATGAAGGCCGGCCTCCTCATACCATCACCATACCTCACTGTCCAGTCAGTGCTGCTACCATACCTCTTTCTTCGACACACAAACTGATCTCATCGCTCCATCTCTGCCATGGCCGCCCGCCTGGTTGCCTTCTCTCCTTTGACTGCCATTCCATCCCCAGGATCATCCATCGGCTCTCATCCCGTCGAGCGCCGTGTCCCCCTCAAGCTCATCAACTTGTCTTAATAGTCAAAATCATGTCTCTGATTTGTGTTTGTTCCCAGAACTGATAATAAACACCTGATACAGGCACCCAGGTCTCCCTTGCAAAGGAGACTCGGCTTCATTGGGCTCTTATCCGGTCAGAGACCAATTAAAATTGTCCGAATTTACTGTATTCAAATATGTTGCTCCAGTGAACGTACACTACACGATCAATAACCAGTCAGTGAGTGGCTCTATTAAAACGGTGGTGAAAGGTCTACGTTCCTATGACAGGAGCCAGCCTATTCCATGGGATAATTGCTGCCGATTTCCCACAAGTTGATCGTCATAACTTGAGTAAAAATAAAAGGTTAAGTTAATATTCAAACAGGACTCTTTCACTGCCACGAAGCAGAAACATTTTTATGACTGAGACCAAAAAACTCCCGTCATGAATTATGCTTAACCTCTTATGAGATCATAAAGGTGCAGCCCAGCAATTCCTTTCTTACGGAATGGCCTCCAATACAGGGAGTCGTAAAGAGCCGCTATGGAGGGGATTTTGTCTATTTTTCCTTGCTGGTAATTCATCATGTAGGAGGCAAGAGTATGGAGCACGCAACCTGCTGATTGCAGTCTGTGGTGAACCCATTTCAACTGCTTGGGTGGACAGAGGTGGGGGGGGTTTAAGAAGTGTAACCGCTTGCTCAACTGCTGTGCCGGTAGATCGAAACGGACACGTACGAATTGCAAGTCCGTTGTGCTAACCATTACGCCAACGGCAGCATCCCAACCTGTTATTGTTTTTAAATGCATTTTTGTTAGCTCAACAGAGACGATGAAGCGAGCACAAAGTGAATGCAGGCACCCACTGGGTCCCGTTGTAGTCGAGATGCACATTTTGTGGAGGCGAATTCCTCGCGCGCTTGCTGTCACGCAAGAGCTAATGCACTGTTATTTATTATTCATCCTCCAAAAGCTGTGCTCCGCGTTTATTAAAATCAGTGCTTCTCTCCTGGCAACGAAAGGAAATCAAAAGCCACAAACATCAAGGGTCCAGGTACAGCACAACAAAAATTATCACTTTTCACGTTGGATTTTAAGGAATACATTAAAGCCACTTTAACATAACAATGAACACACATATGACCGTTATTTGCCAACAGGTGAGAGGCAATTGAGACGTAGTCACTTTTCTTTGGAGATCTGGATATGACTCTCGTCACTAGATTTTTTAAATTTATTCACGTTCACTTCAATGAAGATTTTTTTAAAGATTAAATAAAAAAAATACAGCTTTAGTAGGTACAGAACTAGGTTGTCAATCATAGGCTGTTCAACACAACGGTGAAGATTAATTTATAAGAAACAAGTCTCAATTTGACAGCAAAGCATTTGATCATGAAACGCGAGTTAAGTCCATTATTTCATCCATACGGTTTTAATTAACATGTAGGCTTTCACGACCAATATCATCCATAATAGAGTTTTTTGGGATTAGATCACGGAAATACGCGATCTAACCTCTATTACGTAACGTCGTCAATGCAGTGATATCACGGGAATGCTAATGCTGCCTGTAACCGTGACTTTAAAGTTGTTATTCCTCCATAATGAAGCTTCAATCTCATGTGGGATGCACTGAGGCAGGTACATTAGAACATTGTATAGCCGACTGGCTGAGGACTGAGGGATACGTGAATATGTAAAGATACCAGGTACTCAACTGAGGCCGAGTCGACATAGGGGAGGGCGCAGGACCGGTTCAGATAATCGTCACCGGTGTTGGCCGTGAGCGGGAATTCGAATTCAGGTCGCCGGGTTTGTAGCCCAGTTCGCCCACCACTACCCTACCGCTCACCAATGACTTAGGGGCCATCCATTTAGTGCGTACGCATGGGGGGGGGAGGGGTCAAGTTTTGACGGATTTTTGCGTACATACTAAATGGATGGCCCCTTACACCGCCACCACCACGCACAGACACTGCATTGGGTGCCTGGGCAGTGAATTGACCAATGAGGATGTGTTGACGGTTGTATATTGTACACGGTCCTGTATCTTAACAAGGAGAGATGTATTTAGTGTTTGTTTTGCATTGAGTCTTTGAGCCTGCCCTTCCCCAACTGAGATGACAAAGCCACCCACCCACTCTTGTCAGCGCTGCTCATTTATGAGGATGTGTGAAAAAGAGCTTTATAAAGCTCATCGGATTCCTCCAGTATAAATACGTATTCCGATTCTTATTCATCGTACCACGAGGACTTACACTCCAGAGAAGGACGCTTCGGTCTCCCGGCGCGGCAGCTAAAACACGGGCAAGTTTCTTAAATCTCCCTGCCTCTGTCAATCCAGCAGCATAGCCGTTTCCTGCACGGCCCACTCAAGTCGGTCGCGGCAGGCTGCCACGTGGTGGTGGTGGGGGGGGGGGCACGAGGTGGGTCTGTCACAGCTGCTGGCATGAAGGCGGTAGGAGGGCGACCTCGAGAACCCCCCCCCCCCCCCCTGTGGAGAGGAGTCATTGTGGTTTCCTCTTCCACGCTGTCCAGCACGTCTCGGAAGAGCTGGGAGTACCCGCACCTCATGGTTAATCCACTGCTAGATGAAAGCATTGTAAAATCTACTGGTGTTAATGAACACACAGCGGCACAAAAACTAGCGGTTTTAACCGGTTCACTGGTAACCGAATCCAGAATAGCTTAACAGTTCTTAAAGTCAGGAACCGATTAACGATTCCAGTGGAATGTTGGCAGAGGTGTGAAGGCGTCGATTGTAATTTGTGCCGATGTCTAAACTCGCGCGAAGGTTTGGGAGTCGAACCGCTGCTGACCATGAGATCGCGACATCATCCGTTCCGAATTTAAATAATTATCAGCACAAATGTTGTGTTTGTTGCGATACATTTGTATACTGCACATGCGCAAACCGGTAACCGTTTCATTCGGGTTTTAATGCGCAACGAGCCAGTGCAAGAGACACACAGTATTTAACAACCCTCCTAAAACTTTTGCAGATACATGCATCGAATGAAACTACACAGGATTGCGGCAAAAACATCGATTCGTGAATCCGATTGCCCCGCGATCATTCACGTGCCGATTAGATTCTGCATTAACTGAAACCGTTTTGGTGCAAGCGTTGTCATATATGTTAAAGAACACGCGATCCTCATCTGTGTCACAATGTTCTACAAAGCTTATGACAAATAAGTGTTGAGGCGGGCCGGTCAACTCTGTGACGGGCACGAACTCTCGGCGTGGGAATCGGTGTCCACGGAACTTCACGCGCGCCGCGTTGGGACGCCGCCGCCGCCGCCGCCGCGGGAAGATTTGCAAGAGTGGAAGGATTTGAAAGCTCATACCTTCTGCAATGCTCGTCTCTTCGAAAAGCAGCACTGGAATGCGAACACACGTAGCAATCAATGCACTGCGATAGATAATGGGAGCGCTTTGCAAACTCATTTGAAATTTATTTTTAAAAAGTCGATCAAACTTTTACCACCACCGGAAGTGGCTGCAAACACTCCGGAAGTCACCGACCTTGGTGTTTATTTTATCACGAATTTTGCAAAAAATACCGCAATGCAGCCGAATACTTTGACAGCAATCAACAGCAAGGCTATCGTTCATTTGTGCATGCGTCAGAAGCGAGTTTAGTCATAGTTACCGATGAGGAAGAGCTGGAGCATCATGCGGGCCTCGGACGCATGGCGCGCGCTGCGTGTCGCCCTCACGCGGCAGTGGCGGCGCGGGGGGAGGGGGCGAGGGGCGGGGCTGTGTTTGTTATTCTGCGGGGAGCGGACGCGGAGCTCGCGATGTTCTGAGGCGCGAGGGAGTTCAGGGAGGCGCTGCACGAGACCCCGGTGCGCGCGCGCGCCCACGCACGCGCGCTCGGGTTTGGTCGGCAGGCCGTGCGCGCGCCCACCCGCGCCCGCGAGCGTCTATCGGCTGCGGCGCGCGCGTCTCTCGCCGCGTCAAGCCGCGTGCGCCGCGCGCTGGGGCTGGGCGGGGGCCCCGTGAGGCGGGCGGGGGGCGGGGTAATCGCGGTCAGGGGGGGGGTGCGATGAGGAGGCGGGGTTAGTGCCAAGAGGCTCCACGGCTGGGAGTCGAGGGGAGGGAAAGGCGGAGTCAGATTAAACGGGTTCGTGAGCCATGGGCGGGGCTAGATTCGAGTGGGAGGGGTTAGTGTGGCGAGGGGGCGGTGTTAGTGAGCCCCTCCCCCCACTCGGCGGGGGGGGGGGGCGTGATTGAAACTCATTTCCAGTTTCTAGATTTGAAGTTTTCGTTTCAGTTTTCATTTCATTTATTTCGTATAGCCCTGTGAGCCATTCGAATCTTGAATCGGGTGCCTACCGCAACAAACATGAAACAAAAACATGAACAAGAAAACATCTTAAAGTGACGATGTGACTGTACAAACAGACAATCCAAGAAAAGACAGCGAAATATTGCAGACCGAAGGGTCCGTGGCAGCCCCGCGGCTTGACAGCCCCGTGGCGTGGCATTGTCCTGAACCAACCGGTACCAGCTCTACCATTTACCATAACCAACTAGACCACCTGCCACTGGTACCAGCCCGTTATACTCCTGTAATGTGTTATACTCCTGTTACAGCGTAAGTACACAGCCTAGGTACACAGCCTATGGACACAGCCTAGGAACACAGCCTACTCTAGCTATGCTCTGGGGTCCTCCGGCTACAATTACACTAGGGGAGGCTACCTGACCCGACCCAGCCAAGGTGCGGGTCTGAACTCTGGCTTCCTCGGAACTCGCCCTTACAAGGACGTAGAGCCGGGAGTCTCAGAGTCCCACCACTGGCCCGCACAGCGTCCTGGCCCTTACAAGGATAAGCGGGACGAGGGGGTCCAGGGTCCTAAGCTGGCTGGCTGGTCTTGGGTCTTGAGCTGCAACTGGCCCCGATCGGCCAGTGAGCGGCCCTTTTATGCCTCTTCCCAATCGAGGGGTGGGGTTGTATGTGCCCCCAGATATCCCACAGAGCACACACAGCCCCCGTTGGTGGCGCCAAGGGGCTTAGCTGTCTGGGTTGCCTGGGGTCCTAGCGCCTGGCGCCGAGGGCTTAGCTGTCTGGGTTCCTAGAGCCCCCAGCAGCCCTTCCCCTCTTGGGCTGGCACAGTGGCCCCTCCTATGGCACTACATTACCCCCCTCTACGTAGCCTCCAGCCGACCCGGCTGTCAAAAAAATACAATGGCACAATAAATTATTTGTTAACCATCAGAATGAGTGTATGCGTGTCAATGACTAAATTAGAAGAAAGCGCCTCTCCCCCTCCTGTGGTCACGCGTATATAAAAAAAACTCCAGGCCACCGATGCAGAACAACACTGTATAATAACATATATGCAGGACGAACACACGCCCCAACCGCCCACTATACATGATGGCAAGGTGAGTGGCAGCGCGTTGGGATGAGAGTTCTTGGGCGGGGGTCATGAAAATCGTTTGAGTTTGGAGCGAGTCCGAGTGGCAGGTCCATCGGCTGCGATGGAGGCGGGAGGGGACCGACGACCCGTTGTTGCGCTAGTGTCCTGGGTCGCTGATCCCGCGGGCAAGCTTGTTCCCGCTGGGTCGGCCGTGGTGGGTTTCATTCCCGAGGCACCTGGGTATGCCGAGGATACGGTGGTGAGCGAAGTGCCAGGGTCGGAGGTCCTGAAGTCCGGCGTCGGGGGACCCGGCAGCCAGACGCCACATGGCCCCGAAGGCCACAGTTGTGGCAGATGATGGATGCCCCGTTTTGGCGCAATGTTGGTCGGTCCCGCTTGTGGTGATCCCGCTGGGATCGCCAGTTCGACGATCCGCGACTTCCTGTTGCCGCGAAGGCCTGATGAGGCCCCGAATGCACGTCATAGGCTTGTGCATCAGGTGGGCTTGCGCAGGCGGCGATGGTCGTGTCCTCATCGCAATGGAGGTGTGCTTGGATACACCTGGCAGCACGCAGCGACGTGAAGTCATCGTCGTCGGCTGCCGGCAGGGCAACTCGAAGCTGCCGGGCCAAGCTCATGAGCTTCTGCAGCACGAGTGACTCCACAGCGTCTTCATCCATGCGAGGATAGGCAACCCCCGCCATGGCCAGCAGCGCGCTGCGGTACCCCAGCGCCGACTCATGACTGCAAGGATCCATACTCTTGGTTCTTTCGGTAAAGTCACGGAGTACTTTACAATAAACAAAGTCACGTAGTACTTTACCGAAAGAACCAAGAATATCATTTACAGATTTTACTCGGGTCGTCGCGATATGGCGATACCACGATAATTATTGTACGATATGGTCCTGAATACCGTGCCGTACGTTTGCAAAAATTTCGTCATATTTGTGAATACAGAACTTTTGCTCATTTATTAATAAAACTTTAAAATGTTTGCCAAATAAAGTTCACAATAACAATGAAAGTTCTCAGACATCGGTGGTAGTCATGAGATTGGTGCCGCGTGAAGGGAATTCCCACGAGGCTGACAGCACCGCGGTTCCAGAAGCCGGCCCCGACTGGGGCTCAGTGAACTGCGGCTGAAAACAGCAGAGGAGTGCTCAAGACAAGCACCCTCGACATGCAGACATAAAAATAACACCGGCTCGCCCATTCCATTGCGCCTGCAAATAATTGAAGTAATTATTTTACAATTTTTTGACTACTGTGACGCTGCTTACAGATCAGCTACTAATGAAACAATAAACAGACTCAACCCGCTTCATCATTTTGCTCTTTGATTTGCACTGGATGTTACCATACATTGTGACTTCTGCTTTAAATAAAATTTCACATTATTTGATGCAAGAAGAAATCTACATTGGGCCCTGTTCAACCACAACATCCTTATTGCCAATTCCGTGCTATACCGCACCTCATTTTAAGCACGGTTGGCTACGTACGGTGCAAAAGAAGTTGAACATATTCTTAGCTACTTGATTAACCCCATTGTCGAACCCAAGAAACCTAATACGCCCATCTAATTGTGGGCCGTCCATAAATGACGTCACGCGATTTTGGCCGATTTCTGACTCCCCCCCCCCTCCCCCCCTCGTCACACGACGTCACAAAAAGTCAGACCCCCTTCAAATATGACGTCACAAAGCTCTGCCCCCCCCCAAACCATTTTTCCATTTTGAAAATAAAACATGATTCAAGTAAATTTAAACTATTGTTATTGTAGTGCACTCTGATGTTGTAGGAGAAAATACGTATTAAAAAGGTGGCATTGGAAAGCTGGAATTTAGCATAAATTCACTTGAAAACTGCAGATGTTCAGAATATTATATTGAAATTCTCTTATAATTATAAAATTTTTAAGTAATTATAAATATTTAAAAAATACTTCAAATTTTGAAGTAGAACGAAGCAAAATGGAGAGTACAATTATAAGCATCACATATTCATTCCACAGAATGAAAAGCCCTGGCACCATTATTCAAATCAAAATGTTTAATAACAATAATTCAGAACATTTACAAAATGTATTCTTCTCCATTCTCCCATGGAGAAGCAAAATGCTCCTTCATGGAATAAATAAAAGGTGATCTTAGTCAATTTAAATAATTAAATAGTTAATAATTAAAATTTATCAAAATTTGTGTTGTTATAACAATTCTATTTAATTAAGCAAAACGTGTTGTTTATATTTAAAGTTGCGCATTTTGATGTGACGTCACATTTCTCAACCCACCTCCCCCCCTCGTCACACATCGTCACAAATGTCTGACCCCCCTCCCCCCAGGTGCGTGACGTCTTTATGGACGGCCCCTTGGCTTTTAACTACCCCAAGGACAATAATTGGAATAGGTGACAAAGCCTTTGTCGTTGCAGCACCATCGTTTTGGAACAACCTTGTTTCCTACCTTAACATCATACTGTCGTTATGCATATCGTTTATTGTTAAATTAGAATCACAGTTCCTATGATCACTGTTACATTGTTTTTAGAGCTTTATTTTGGTGATTTTGAAAACGTTTTGGTTTAGCCATGTTTATTTGTTGTAGTACAGAGTTAGCCTGATAACTTTAATCTAAATTGTCTTATGGTTGTTATTGTTTGACTTGCATCCCACTGGGATTTTGCACAAAGCGTTGGAATACGGTGTTTTTTCTGGAAGACTTTACTGTTTTTCCTGGATTTTTCTGTTGCGTGTAGTCACTTTAAGATGTTTCTTGTTTATGTTTTTGTTTTGTTGCGGTTGCACCCGAGTCAAGAACCGTACGACTCACATGGTTATACCTAATAAATGAAATGAAACTGAAAAATATGCTGAAGCAGAAGGTTAGTGCTGGATACAACCACATTTGCAAATGTGATTTGTAACTTTGACCCTTACCCATCTATCTATCGTTACATTTTAAAGTTGTTGTCTTGGTGTGGTCTGGGACTGTTTTTGTTTTACTGCCTTGCCCCAAGCTTGCATTTAGTGTAGAAAAATAATCAGGAATTGATGAACTTATATACTTTTATATCAGCGAACAACTTTATCTATCTGTGATGAACGCTGCACTTTCCGTCGTTTTCATGCAGAGGGCGCTGCAAACCTACACGCCCCCTGCATGAACGACGGAGGCGCAGGGACAGACGTTCGATTACGTTGGAATCGATCTGCAGACGGCGGTCTTCTCGCACGGCCAGCTCTATGTCGCCTTATCTCGATCCCGCAATCCCAAACAGGTGAAAGTCCGCATCGAACCGAACCCCTAGCAAGGCCATCTACTTAACGACGAGTGAAAATTCACACGAAATGTTGTTTTCAATTAAATCTTACAGATGGAACATGATATAAGCTTTTAATGAAGAAATACAATTATCTAGTTCAAAACATAATACAATTCAAATATGTTTAATTTTAAAACTTCAAAACGGAGCATCGGGTGCTTGCGTGAATGCGTCGTTCGTGTGCAATTCTTTTTGTGACTTTCCTGGCCGAAGGCCGTAAATGGTTGTGAGGGGACGCCACAGGCACCCCCGAACAACCCAACCCCTAGTAATTTATACCTATATGCTTTATTTGT